GGGGGGGGGGCGATCGCCCTCCATAAAACCGTGCCTGTGACAGGCGACGTTCACCCGGCGGGAGAGAGCAGACGTTTGGTGGGCACCTGCCTTGCCTCCCACATGTAAAACTGCACTATTTTACCTTGGTAAAAATTAATGGTTAACGTGGATGAAAATGTAAGGGGTTATTTGAATGGTGTTATCTTTAGTGTTTCGAGTTACGTGATGAGTTCCCTAGCTTTACCAGGGCCAGAGGGGGAGGAAAAGACGTGTGCGATGCTCTTCTTGATGGTAGCGCCTGCGGTGCGCTGGGTAGGCCAGCCCGCCCAGCAGCTGTGTGGAGCCGGCGGCCGCAAGGGGTGGCCCGCCCTACAGCCTGAGCGTCCCCGAACATTTGTAGGGGCGCGGACTAGGGGAGTTGGCTGCCAAACGTTTATTCCATTACTTCCCTACTTTGCTGTAATCACTTGCCTTCATTTTACGTACTAATGCGCAAAAGATGCACTATGTGTATTACTTTTTTACCCAATCCCCATGTCAATGCCCAGTACTGCAGTTCATGCGCATTTACGCGCATTGGCGCTTCTGTAGTGTTACGGCTGGTGCGGCTGGTGCATGCATTTGTTCGACCCACGACTGTGTTCACAGTGGCCTCTTGGATGCCGTCATCGTCGCCTCGTCTCGGACGGCAGAATAAGCGCTTCGAGACCGACAACGCGGCGTGGACCCTCGTGAACGTGAGAGGTTGGTGACTACCGAACTGACATCCTGAGAGTTCAGTCACTTGCAAGTTTTTTTTACAACAGTGTCGCAAGTAGCAACTTGCAGGCGTTTGGGTGGAAATTCTTTGAGAACACAGTGTCTTAACACTAGAAGGACCGGGATTTTCGTATACCTAGAAGGACCGGAGGGGTCATTTTGACCCCTCTACGATTTTTGGCTGTTTTTATGGCTTCAAGGCTGCAGTTTTATTTCACATGATTAAGGTTGTGTGTGTTTCAAGGTGTCTGATGCCATGAGTTGACATTGGTTAGGTTCAAAGTGCGTTGAGGTAGGCAACCCGCACGGCATAAAACCTTTTTATTGCAATTTTACAGCTATTTCTGCTAACTCTTTGCACCATTTTAGACATTTTTAAACTTCAAAATTAATATTCGACTTAGTACACATTTGTAAGTGCGTGATTTTTAGAACACATTAGTACTCTAAAAGTGGGAGTGTGATCCATACAAAAGCACTTCATTTTTTACCAATTTGGCATTGACAACAATGTGCGTGGCAGTTTTGGCATTCGCAAAACCACCCGTACTGTGTGCTAGATGCCCCCCTTTGCCATCAGAACACGATTCCCGTGACGCTACCACCACTAAACCTTGGATGTGATGTGATTTAGAAACGGGGTTCTATGACGTGCGTGTTGCCTACCTTCGCCTACTGAAGGAGTTAAAAAGTGTCACATGGCCGGCCACAAGTCATAAGCGGCCGTATAAAACAAATACGGTCAGCCTTATGAAGGAAAAGTAAGTCCTCGTCAGTTTACACCTATAGAATCTCGAGAAGGGGTCAAAATGACCCCTCGGTCCTTCTAGGTATAAGTAGTAATATCTTCGAAAATTCTTGTCGCAGAGACCTCATATTTTGCGTCCAAGCGTCTTTCGGTAGTACATGAAAAGTCGGAAAGTGATGAATCGGTCAAAAAATAATTCGTGTTTCCTTTGGCAATTAAAAATCAAAAGGGGTCATTTTGACCCCTCCGGTCCTTCTAGTGTTAAATTCCCAGCTTGTCACTCATACTTCAGAGTGCTCAACTCTCCGATCAAACACCTGCAAGTTGTGGAACACATGCATTACCTGGTCTGACCATCGTCTCTGGCCCGCAGACTACCCAGCCATGAACAGACCGCAGCGCGGGCGCGACTCGGCCTCGTTCACGCCGCGCCTCGGCCGCGAGCTGGAGTCGGATGAGGAGGTGGCCGTACACGACGCCCCGGGCCTCGGGCCGCAGGATGACCTGCAGGGCAGCGTGCGCCTGTAGGGCGCCTGTCAGCCTCCGCCCGCCTGGGGTGTGGCCTCTGCCACGGCCTCTGCCACGGCGCTCGCTGGCCGCATCGCATTGCCCGAAGAGGAGGGCGAGCTTTGCGTTTGGTATGGTATCCAATAGTGATTACGCTTCACAACATTGGAAACGGCTCGTCTTGTTCGCCGACCGACTGAAGCTGTGGACTGTTTTCCTCCCCTATCGATACAATAGGTGCTGTCATGGTTCTAGACTTATGACGTGAGAGGAGACGCCGGTTGTAGGCTATTCCTCCCTAGGCTGGAAGGGAAGACCCACCACCTGGCAATAAAACTGTTCCTCCTCATCTCATATGGAAATTTGCATCCATCACAGCATGTTTCTGCTCTATCCCCCTCCAAACAAAATGTTCTCCCATTACATTGTTTTGTAAACACTCTGCAACTATGCACAGCTACTGCTTACTATTTGTTGTGAAAGTGATGCTATGATTTTAAGACTTGTAAAATTTTGTGAACCTGAAATATACAATTTTTGTTTTTTTCTTTGTTGCGAGTCCCTTAAAATGTATTTTTATAAACCACTAAGTTGAAGAATGAGTGATGTCCACTGAAGTTTCTGCCATACTTTGAGAGAGGATGTGCAAAGGACAGTTTTTCTTGGCTGTCAAGGTTTTTTCATTTATCAAAGAACTGAAGATTTCATGAAAGGCATCTTTATTTGGATCCCCCCATGAACATATGCAACTTTGCCCAATATCTTAAAAAGGTAACCAGCCTTAATTGTTACAGAATGAACTGTGACAGGCATACATTAATAATAGCATTACAGTGCTGAATAAGGTCAATGCTCTGTGGCATACCAAGTCATTAAGACATGCCAACAGAGTAACACACAACCTATGTTTAACGAGGCAATGTGAAAAAAGCATTGAAATTTGTAAAACCTACTTTGAATTCAATTGAGAATTCTAAGGAAAATCAAAACAAAAGAGACATTTTTCAAAATGAGATTAATCATTACAAGTTTCTAATAGTAGGTTTGGTAGGAGATGGCAGCATAAGAGTTTACCCCTTTCTTCTTAAAACTAAACCAAATGGTCATTTTCTTTTATAAATAAGTGAGCATACTTGACAGTTAACATTGATAACAGGTCATTCCTTGATGCACACTGCAAACCACTCAATTACCTCTCAGTAACAGAACCAGTTGAAATTTGATGCATAGAAATATGCAAAACCTTTACCTAGTTTCCCTTCCATTCACTTTGGTTGTAGTGCATGAGAATTTCAAGGGTAGATATTCAAACTAGTTAACTATGCTAACCTCCAACTGCCCTCTGTTCACACTAAAGTGTTCATGCCAACACCTACATGTAGAAGTTTGTTTAAAAAATAACAAAAGGTTTAAGTCTTCAGTGGAAGCCCTATGAACATTGTTTTTGCATAATTTAGTTTAATATTCTTACACAAACATTGCCCACTCCTTTACAAACACCACATTTTACTATTGTTTAGGTGAGTTTCGCATCTAGTCAGCAAAAGTAATCTACAAAAAATTGTAACTTTTTAGATCTTTCTGAAAAATTCTTGCCAATTGAACCAATGGAAAGATAAAGAGAAAAAATAGTAATGATATATAGAATCAGTACTTCATAGACATGGCACAGAGAGATACACCTGCTGTATGCAGAAACCTAGCTTGCATCTTCAGAGCAGTACTTAGTACTGCTCTGAAGCTTACATGTCACATGCCAAACAAAGCCATAACATCATGGTACAATATTAGTAAGCTATTGGATTCATCACATCACAGATGAAATACAAGATTGGAAAAAAATTCATGGAAAAAATATGATTTTATTCTTGAATGCTAATGAAGTCTTCCAAAAGAGACATTCTCTGTTGTGAGCTGAGTAGTCTGAAAGATACACTAGTTCAATCATAGGGGAAAAAACTATATTTTAAAATATTTTATAGTTCTAAATTTATAAGGTGTAACAAAAATTAATAAAAACTACCCTACATCCACTATAAATTGTAGTAAAAATTGTTTCAACAAGTGCCATGGGTGATTCCTTGTCACATACATAATTTCAATATCAACATGTCAAGACTCACAAACAACACATAGAAAATATGTACACAGAAAGAAAAAAAAGTAAAAGTGCGTGGAATACATCTCTTCAATATCTCTGGAAATTTTACATTAGCAATAGATTCTTGACTATCTAGGATGGATTGGAATGGTGTTATTAGTGTCATAAGTGTACCCACAACAAAGAAACACCCCTCTGAGCTAACCGAGACATTTGCAGGTATGACAACACAGGTCAAACTTGACTCCTAAACTCATTTTAAAGACAGAACTCATGAGGCACAAATCTTATCAAAGACCCACAAATTCAAAAGTTTTAATTGAAATAAAGCTCCACAGCTTCTTCAATCATTACTATCACATAACACATTACTATAAGCATCATGTAAAATAAAATTGTGGTGGGAATTCTAAGCCAAGGCATCCATCTAAGGTGGCATTAGATTAGTAACCACCATAACGATCCTACAAAGCAAGAGAGAAAAGAGGTGAGCCATGAAAAATTCAATTCAAGATACAGAATTGTATATAAATACATATAATCAATAAAGTAATACCTGTAGAGAAGACATTACTCCATTTGCAAGAGAGCTCAACTTTCCTGCTACTTTGGTAACACCCTGCCGTACACTTTCTTTCATATCCTCCAAATCAGGAGCAGTCATTTGATTGCCATATCCCCCATGTGATCCCATATTGGATGATGATCCATTACCAAAATAATCAGCAGACGATATACTAGTTGAACCTTCAAATCTAGAGAGGTTTGCCTTGCGCTCCCACTGTAACAAACAAACAGAAAATTTAAATTATTAAGGTACAGAGCTTTAACTCAGGAATTCTTTTTCTGGTGTACTCACAGAATTTGCATCTGAATCAGCAAAATACTGGTCCGAAGAGATGGCTTTAGCACCTCCAAACTTTTTCTGAGCTTCGTTGCTACTAGGTGTAGAGTCATGGGACCGCGAAGCTCCTCCATTACCTGATCGGTCCCAGCTTCCACTAGAGCCACTCTTGTACCTGTCTCTTTCGGCCTCTCTCTCTCTCTGCCTTTCACGCTCAAGATCTCGATCCCGCTCACGCTCTCGCTCACGCTCACGTTCGCGCTCGCGCTCACGGTCCCTCTCCCTTTCACGTTCACGATCTCTTTCTCTATCATTATCAGTATCCCAATCATGATCCCTCTCCACTTCTCTAATTAATGTTACAAGTACATCCATCGACTTGCCTTCATTCTTATATCTGTTGGGCAGTTAATGCAAAGTAAGTACTGTACTACGTAAGTGTAAATTAATTCTCGAATTTCTCAAATGAAGGCCACAAAACTAGATCAATCTTACGTAAAAGGAAAGGGAAATACTCACGAGCCAAAGCCTGTAAATGGGAAGTCATCATCATCATCACGCTCATACAAGGATTTACGGAGGCTTCCATAAGACGAAGATGATGATGATGATTTCACAGGGGCATCCTGCTCAATCATTTGCATATCATTCGTAGCATTATGACTTATGCCACTGAAAACATAAAAAAATAAGGTAAGATCTCTAGACGTGCTAAGCAAAAGCCCACTAAAGATAATTTTACCTCACCTTCTAGTGGCAAAGCCCATTCCTAATCTTTCCATTTGAGTGGCCTTTTTCGGGTCAACTGTGCGCAACTTATCCTCTTCTTTCTTTTGAGCTACACTAAGATCCTGATAAGCCAGTCTCATGGAGGCAATCTTAAACAAATAGAATTGAAATAATAAGAATAACGAAAACAAAGGATGAGAGAGGGAATTTAGTACTTATTTTTCTGCTTTACCTGCTTTTCCTCTTCCTCTGCAGTGCGTTCAGCCTGAAGTTTTGCTTCATGAGCTGCTGTTTCTTTCATCTGATCAGCTAAGGCAGCCTTCTGCTCAATCTCTGAAAAATTTGTCTTCACACGCTGAGCACCTAATCCTTTCTTGGCACCGAGCTACAGCAAAAAGAAAAATATAGATAAAGGAAATAATTGCTTTAGAGCTCTTTAACTTTTGAAATACTAATATGAAATACTTACACCACTCTTTTTTGCTACAGGTTTCCTATTTCCGATAATGTGTTTCCTTTCAGAATCTGGTTCCGCTAAGCTAGAAGGGGAAAGAATACCTGCAACACTTGGTGCACCTCCTGAAAGTGATGCTGCACTCGAGGGTGGTGCTTGAAATGCTGGAGTGCTGATTGGAGCAACAGCTGGAGCCTGAAATTTTGAAGAGTTATTATGGATTCATATTTCCCTAGTGTCAAATGATGCTACTGTTACTAACCACAATAGTATTATTATCAGAAAGCTGAAACTTCTCATGTTCCTCAAAGAAGTCAACTTCTTTCTTTGGTTCCTCTGCTGGAGATTCATGAGCAGAATCTATCATGAGCTGAAAAAGAAAATGTGACACACAATACAAATATTTAATGATGTTAACACTTGCAAAAGTTTGTACCAGCTCATGTTAGTATTAGTATTATTACTATTGTTGTTTTTAAAAAATTTATTACATACTCCAGTGAAAAAGAAAAAGAAAAAAAACAGGTATCATTTTCAAATATTAATTAAGAAACATTATTTTGAAAACTGCTTTTTAGGAATAAGCCATAGTCTCACGGCCTCAGCTACCAGGCATGCAACCTTCACATTAAAAACCTTGTCTCAATTCTGACAAGAATGGGAAACTACATGGTTAAATCTGGGGCAACAAGAAAACAACAACAGCTAATATTAACTGAAAATCAATTTTCAAGTGCAGGCAAACTATTCTACATTGAGTAGAAATTTTTCTCTTGTTAGTCTAGCTGTTTACAGCTGTTTAGAATGTAAATATAAATTGGTACTTTAAATCAATCAAGCATGGCTACAAGCCCTGCTCACCATACAGTTAGCAGAGGTCTCCCTATTAGATAGAGCTTTTAAAGATGCCAAATGGAGCTGTCCCAAAGAAAAAACTACAGTGTCAATGTAAAATAACTTCAGCAGCAGCATAAAGTAAAACATTGGAGTGGGAAAGATGAATTTGGGGGAAGTCAATGGTTAAAGCAGGTTTACAAATAATTGATCATCAGGTAAGATTTTGACTGAATTGTACAGTTCTGTACCACTCAGAGAAAACTAACCTTTGTTCCATGTATCTTCATAGCCTGAATTGCAGCACTTTGTAATTTATCTCGATAAAGTTGAGCAGCACGAGAGTTATACTTCTGGTTAGAGTCATTTGTTGTACAATTATGTTGTTGGAAAAAGGAGTGCTGAAATAAGGAATAACAGACATTTATAATAAGTGTATAAAGATAAAAACAAAATAAAATCAGACTAAGTTATTTTTACTCACAGCATTGGCATTTCCACCAAGCTGCATTTGCCTAAGTTGAATCCATGTCCAATTTGTGTCCAATTGAGTTGAACGCACAAAAGTTAGGTGAACTCCTAGACTGCGGTGAACTGCAGAACAGTCGATGCAGATAAAGACGCCGTATGTAACAGTGGCCCATGTTGGGTTTTTGGCACTACAGTCAAAGCAGATCTAGAAAAAAAACAAATTTGTGTCAATATCACATTGGAAGATAAGACTAAGCACAAAAGGAAACAGAGAAAAGTTAATGTTACAAGTGAACGAGATATCAGAGAAAAGTTAGAAGACATGCCCATAACCAAAACATTCCATAACATTTTCACTTTCCTATCGGGGAAAACGACAGCCGTATGAGAAAGAATTAAGAATTTAGAAGTGTAAAACGAATGATCAAACTTGACGTTTAAGTAGACAGGAAACTTGTGAAATATGTTAACAGTTTTAAGGCCAAGTATGACACCATGTTCTTCAGCATATGAAGTTGATGAAGAGGCAACCAAAATAACATAGAAATAATAGGAACAAGAAAAAGCGTTTAAAAGTAACCTTATTAGGCCCTTGAGACCGCAAGCGTTTTAGAATTGCTTGAATATCGTTTTTGCTGGGCCCTTGTTGATCCGCCATGATTGACCTGTTGTCAGAATCAGAATTTCTCTTCCTTCGACGTCACTATGACGTCATTCAGACGTCACTGTGTCTCATCTGCTGCCTGGCAGAGATGTCAATTTTTGAGATTTTTAGTTAATAAATGGGTCCTTACTTTTCTTTTCTGATCCCTCCAGTGTCATCCTTCAGAATAAATTGCTGTTTACTGATGTTTGTAGCATGAAATTTTAAAGATTTTTTCTCTCCCAACGACGATTGTGAAATTGACGATACTCCTGCTCCAAGTTCCTTCCACCAACTCCAACCAGGCCCAGCCAAGCACATATACTGTTTCCGGTCCCTAAAATCGTACCCCCCTACCCCCGCTTCCCCTCGTTTCAATATATTGCCATAATTACAAAGATGAAAACACAACCCTTTGTGACAGGACATTTTCCTCGTACAGGGGACACCCTTCACACGAAAACGCACGAAATTCACACGGTAACAATGTGGCTTCCTTACGACTGCTCTGCATTATGAATAAATGCGATTCAGATATTAAAAACTTCCGCAATATTTTACGTCCCTCATGCATACAGACCGGGTAACACTGATGACAACAAACGCAGACGACGACGACACGCGCCGTGCCGGCTAAGACCGCATTGGAAGATCAACCAAGTTCGTTTTCAATTTTCCTTTCAAAATTGAAAAATTAACCCTTAATATCACTGCATTCAAAACCTGACGCTGTGCTTTGACCCACTCTCACCTCAAGATAAATTGGCTTTTCCGTGCAAGATAAAGGAGTTGCAACTATTATGGTAGGTTAAATGTAGGGTCTGTCATCCAAATCTTATTCAAATTTTAAACAATTCTCTTAATAAACAACAGTGATGTGCCTAAGCTGATGTTTCCCAAGGAATTAACGCAGAAAATTCATTTAGATGTCATTAGTGTTTGGAGTGGTGCTCAGAGTTATCCTCTGTAACTTTACAGCAATAACTTCCTTTGCTGCGTCATGTACCTAATCAATAACTAATTCATTAATAGGGACAATAGAGCCTTTAGTAGGTCATTGTTTCATGATTGTTCAG